AATTCCCAGAACTGCCCTTTGGTGCACTTGTGCCAGGTGGGCCTCTCTATGATGGGCTACAGGCGGGGGTTGCTGAACATGTACGCCTGCTAGCACCCCTGGAGTTAGAGCCAGATCTGTGGAGCCTAGTACCTGGCATGGACACTGTGGCCAAGGAACCTCGATGCTGGGCTGTGCGCAGGACCCAGCTTGAGTTCCATCCCCGTGGGCGCAGCCCATGGGACCGCTTCCTAGTTGGGGGGTATCTTTCCTCTCGTGTCTTGTTGGAGCTCATACGGAAGGCCCTGGCAGCCTCCGTCAACTGGCCAGCCATTGGTAGTCTACTTGGATGTCTGATCCGGCCCAATGTGGCTTCGGAGGAGCTGCTGCTGGAAGTGCAACACGAGAGTCTGGAGTTCACATTAGCTGTGCTCATGGTGGTCCCTGGGGCCAGCACTGATGACCGCCTTCTGCTAGCATGGCCCCTGGAGGGGCTGGCTGCCAATCTCTGGCTGCAGGATCTATATCCAGTAGAGGCTGCCTGTTTGCGGGCTCTGGATGACCAGGATGCTGGCACTCGCCGAAGGTTGTTGCTGCTGCTGTGTGGTGTATGTCGTGGTCATCCAGCTCTGGTGCGTCTGGGCTGGAGCCACCTGACCCAGGTGGTTCTGCATCTGGGTAAAGAGGAAGTAGCCTGGACTGAGGAGGCCTTGGGGGATAGATTTCTGCAAGCCCTGGAATTTCTGGTGGGCAGCTTGGAGCAGGCTAGCCTGCCCTGTCACTTCAACCCCAGCGTGAACCTCTTGGGCAGTTTTCGGGAAGAGGAGATTGACGACATTGGCTACATACTGTACAGTGGTCTCCAGGTCCCTGAGAGCCTACTCTAGGTGGATGAGGACTGTGATTGGCTTGTTTTCTGATGCTGGAGAGCAGCAACCACCTGCCTCCCTGGACGCTGCGTGTGGTTTGCTTCATTTTAGCCAGAGCGGAGGAGAGGATACATTACTAGTCCATGGGTGGGCATGTGCCTGGGTGATGGTAACCAAGATTCCCAAATCCAGAGTCTGGGTTGCTGTTAACTAATATGGCTAGCCTGTCCTGGCTCTCAGTGACAGCCACACTGATGCCCCTTGGCCCTCTGGGGTTAACATAGGATCTTGGGCTCAGTCTATCATCACCAGCAATGAACTCACCAAGAATGAGACATGGCTTTTGATTTCCTAGGCTGGTTCCAACATTTTGCCAAGAAGGAAATTTAGTGTTCTTGGTTGGGTGACAGCCCCAGGTGTCCTGGAGGCACACACAGCTAGTCATTGAGTCTTATGTGTTTGTTATTCCCTGGGGCTGGAATCACGCAGTACCCTGGAGGGTAACTTCTTAGCTGTTGAAGGATGGTGTTTTCTTGATGGTCATGCATTTGTTTTTCTGGTTGAGTCCTCAGGCCTTGAAGTGGAAGTTGTCTCCCTTGCTGCCTGCCTGCTTTATATCCCAGGGAAGGAAGGTCATTTCTTCCTGATTGGTGGGTTTTCTCGGTAGGTCACAAATTACCTCTGGGAGAGCCCCTTCCTCATTGAGGAGCTGAGCTCTATGCTGTCTATGCAAGACTACCCCATATTGGCTGCTCCTGGACCTCACTGTAGGACAGAGGACATGCCTCTCCCAGAGGCCTGTGTGCAGTCCTGGCCTCTGCAGCGTGCCAAAATATTCATGGTAAATGTCTGTGTCCTCAGCTGGCACCCTGGTTAAGGTGGCATGACTGGAGGATAGAGATTACTTCCCCTGCCAGGGGACCTTTCTATCTTAGGTACCCTGCCCTCCCCCACCCCCCACCCCATACACAGTGAAACAAAGCTATGCCTTGAAGAAAGAGTGTGAATAAAGAGAACAATTTTTATGAATGTGTGACTTTTTTTTTTCCAAGACAGGATTTTTCTTTGGAGTCTGTCCTGGCACTCGCTCAGTAGACCAGACTGGCCTCAAGTTCACAGGGATCCTCCTGCCTCTGCCTCCTGAGTGCTGGGATTAAAGACGTGCGACACCAATGCCCGACTGCATGTGTGATTCTTACTGGCAGAACATGGTCTTAATACTTTCATAGGTGGATGGTTGGAGCTTCACAAGTCTTGTTGGTGTCTTGGTGTGGAGGCTTGAGGTCATTTTATGGCCAGATTTCTTTTTTAAAAGTTTTCAGGAGCCAGGTATGTATGTGGCCTCAGTAACAACTGAGGATGCAAACATTCAAGGGATACTGTTTAATCTTTTGGTTCAGGCCATCTCTGCTTCAACTTAGCCTTTAACCATGGTTTTATCTGGCCTTGAGTTCTTGTTACATCCAGATGCAGACTTGTAGGCCTGTGAGAGATCTGGGGCATAAGTCTCCCCTTTGTTGGAGACAGGGTGGCCAAAGGGTGGATGGCCAGGGGGTAGGAAGAGAGCTGCCTCACTCCTCAGGTCTCTAAGCCTTCAATTCTACTAATGACCTTTGATGCTTGACTTTTGCTTTTTGTTTTTCAGTGTAGCTCTGGCTGTCCTGGAACTTGCTTGTAGACCAGACTGGCCTCAAACTCACAGAGATCCCCCAGCCTCTGTCTCCCAAGAGTTGAGATTAAAGGCATGCATCATCACTGCCCAGTAACGTTTTCACTCTTAATACAATTTTCCTTTGTAATCAGGTAAATATCTTTAGAAAAACAGCCTTTACTTGTTAGTCAGCCAGTTGCAGCATAAAAAGCCTGGCACATACCCCAAGGCAACACTAATGATTCTGGTGATCCATGGATCCTCTGCACTGCTTGACAAACTCCAAGGGCAAGTCTTTTTAGTTCACTAAGGCTGGGCCTTAGTGGGTGGATGACCTAATGCCTAGGCTTTTCGCTTTCATGGATTTTAGAAGGCTGCTTCCATTTGGAGGGCAGGAAGAGTGAGCACCACTTTCCAGGCAGAAGCTGGCATTTGAGGGAGGGTCTTATGGCCTTAGTAACAACTGAGAAATGGACCTGTCACTTGGGGCAGATCTTCCATTCCAAGGACAGTGGTAGGACATGAGTGTCTTGATTTGCTTTCTATTGTGATAAATGCCATGACTAGAAGCAAATTGGGAGAGGAAAGGGTTTATTTAGTTCATGTGTCCCAAATCACAGTCAACTGAAGGAAACCTGAGGCAAGAACTCAAGCAAGAAGGAACCTGGAGGCAGGAGCTGACATGGAGACCATGAAGGTTGCTTACTGTCTCATTCCCGATGACTTCCTCAGCCTGCTTTCTTTCATTTTTTTTTTTTTTGGGGGGGGGACCTGTCCTGGAACAATCATTCTGTCATTCTGTAGACTTGGCTGGCCTTGAACTCACAGATATCTGCCTGCCTCTGCCTCCTGAGTGCTGGGATTAAAGGCTTGCACCAGCGACTGCCCTCAGCCTGCTTTCTTATGCAACTCAGGAACACCTGCCCTGGAGTGGTCCTGCTTGTAGTTGGCCTCTCCCACATTAATCAGATAAGACGTTGGTGTCACACGCCTTTAATCCCAGCATTTGGGAGGCAAAGGCAGGCAGATCTCTGTGAGT